GATCCATTGTTTATATAAAGAAACACAAAATAATCATATGCTTGATCATATTTTCATATATTGAAAATAATGAAATAAAATATTCATTCAATTAGAAACATACATATATACATAGTTTCGAAAACAAGCAAAGTGTGTGAGATTCTACTTACTTTCTTCTGATTCCATCACCTAATTTTTTTCACTCAAAATATAGTGACCTATTCAAGATAATTCCAACATAATAATAATTAATCAACCCATTTGAGACCACTTATACCAAAACAATTAAGTTAAACAAGTAATAACTCGAGTAATTAATTCTGGCAGTCTACGCTACTTTCACTAAAACGACCATAACTCAAGATATCCCATTCCAAATTAAAATCTTTTTAATGCGTTAGAAACTAGACTTGACAAGCTTTTTAACCATATATGGCCCATCTCGTGATTCCTTTTGGATTAATTATAACAATTTTTGGAATCCACGTCATATGCTGCTGCCAGACAGCCTGTATATTTTTTCATAAAAACTACGTATTTATTTATAGGTAACTCCAAATTCAATTCCACTTATTTCATTAGAAAGTAGACTCAATAAGCTTTCCAAACATATATGGCTTAATCTGTAAATCCTTGTATAAAAATTAAGAAAATTTTCGAAATTACTCTTTACTGCTACTACTAAGCAACCTGCACATCCTTAAGTAAAAATTGAATAACTCTTCATAGAGAACTCAAATTCAACTCCCGTTTGTTTCATTAAAAAGTAGATTCAACATGCTTTCTAACCATATATAATAATCATGGTAGTATTTAACTATTTAATACAAAATATAACCTTAATTCATCACTACAAACACAAGATTCATATCATGATTTATACGAATCAAAGATTTTTCTTTCTATTCCAATCAAATTTCTGTTTCAGCAATAAATTCACATTACCAACTTTCTCAACACTTAATCGACCCTAATTAAAGTCTAAATCATTTGCCCGAAGAGGGATGATGGAAACCCTAAAATTTTAGTGTTTCTCGATTATAAATTATACCTTAAGACTTAACCATTAATATTCCAAAATTGAAAGAGATTATTTACTCACTTCTAATTGATAATTTCTCCTTGTAGATTTTTCTTTCCCTTCACTTGAAATGCTTCAATTGATCTTTTCTGTATAAAAAATATATGAGAAATAAGTTTTTATTTTTCTTTCGATTAGTTGTAGATTGAAAATTAAAAAATTAACTCTATTAATAAAAAATTAAGTTATTTATCAATAAATCTTTTGCATTTCTCATTCTTTATTAAAAAGTCCTTCACTTATAAAAATACTTAAAATATATATATATATATTTTTTACGGGTATTACAAGTAGAAGGTCCATGTTAGTACTTGTGTGGAGACATGTCAGCTGGCTTTTATGCTTGTATCGGATGTTTATCTGTCTCTGTTTGCTCATTTCCCCCTTTTCCTCCTCTAATGGATGTCCTTTTCCCTTTAAGGAAAAACTTTACCAAGATTTCCCAAGGAAAAAAAATGCTCTCAAAAAGTACCTTTCTGTTTTGCACGAAGAGGAGCTGTAGATGATGCGTCAAGGGACTGTCCACTAGCCTGAGCTTCTGCTATGCCATATGGACCCAAACAGTGTACCTCCGGCTACAGGTGGAAACCTGGTTTGCAGATGGGCATATGAAATTGCTTTGCAATAAAATCATTCATCATTAGAGATATCAGCTTGTCATGACTCATGAGATAATTTTCTTTGCTCTCACAGTTTATTCTTATCCTATACCGTATAAAGCAAATAACAAGGCAAGCATTACTTTCCCTTTTTCTTTTTGGTGGGCATTTCTCGATAAAATTTGCATGGTCATCGTTTCTCTTTTTGGTAGGTATGTAGAAGTATTTACTTTCCTATTAGTAAGTTGCATATGTGTAATACATCAGCAAAAGCAAGTGCACCAAAAAGAGAGAATAACAAAGCAAGTTTAAGCAAATATTTTGCCTTCTCTTGCAACACTCGACTTATCTCTGCTTATTTTCAAAGTTGGGGTCACCGTTTGTCAAACTTTCTTGCTGCTTTTCATTTTCTTCCACCATAAAAAATTCATGAAGATCAAGGCCCATGTGCTCCTTGTTATGTAAATCAATCAAATAATTCAATTTTCTACTACCAACCAACTTTTGTAGCATAATCAATAAGGAAACAATTATAAAAAAAGACCCCTCAGGCCCTCACACCCCTCAAAAGCATAGGGAGAGAAAGTGTTAATCACAATGATGCAATGTGACAAGGCCTTTTTCTTTGTATAGGAAGTCTCCTAGTGCTTCTTCAGTGATGTTATAACTATTTAAAACCAAAACCATTTGATCACAGAAATGTATATCAACAATTCAAGATCCCTTGCATAGTTTTTTTTTAGCTAAATCCACTGCTACTGATTCATTTCCTCAAAAAATTTTAAGGAAAAATGGATGGGAACTTATGTCTCGCAGTCATATAGATTGCAACTTAATGAGGCTCTAGGCCTTGATTCATCTCGCCTTCCAAATTTCAATTTCCCAATGTATAACAAGAAGTCGCCTTCTGTTGTTGTAGGACAATGGTACTGTCCCTTAATATTTGTGAGGGAGGAGTCTAGACTAAGGCGACAAATGAAGAAATCATTGTTCTATGAGATGGCACTCGAGCAATGGTGGCGACAGATTCATTCATGTGACAATGAGAATGATGAACAAAATGTTGTGAATGCTTGTACAATTGTGCAAAGAGAATTTAATTCAGTCTATGGTTTGCAAGCTGATGAGAAGGATATATAATAGAATTAGCCGTGGAGGGTTTTGGTGGTTCAGAACTCTAACCAGAAACAATGGGAGAAGGGGCAGTGTTGGTTTGAGTTTAGCAATGATGGAGAAAATGAGATGGTTACAAGAGAAGCGAGGTTGGTTTAATGGAGAAAAAAGTGAAATGAGGGTTGAAAGAGAAGAAGAAATTATAAGTGAATGGTGTGGAAAGCTTTAATTTGAGAAGAATGGATGTAACTTTGGTGCTGAGGTGTGACTTCAGGCACACTCATAAGATTCAATCCAAATGGGAATGAAGTCTTGTGATCATGTAAAAATGTTTAATATTTGATAAATTAATGAAGCTGAAAGGTACAGTTTCACTTGTTTGATCTCTTCGTATGTTTTAAGTTTTCATTTTCATTCTTGTGATTCAAATTCTATGAATTTGAAAGTCTTCGCTCAAATCAGCAGGGATGGATATAGATTCAATTACAATCTTAATTAATGTCTAAATCCCAGATCGGAGCCTTCAAATTAGACTTATTCAAGAGTTTGGGTGCTTGCTTGAACTCAAAAATTTATTTGAAATTTTAATAAATTTGGACATAAATATTAAATTCATTAAAAGAGTTTAGATAAATAAATAAGATCCAATAAAAAAATATGATCAAGTTTGGGTTTCATCATTTAAGGTTCGAACTTGGCTCAACTTGACTCAAAAAGTAAAAAAATATTTTTATTATAATGGCATAAAGTCTATTTACTTTATTTTTTACAATAAATAAGGTTCATTTGCTTTATTATTTATAATTAGATAAAACTCAATTTTTTCTTTATGTAAAATATTAAAACAATGATTTAATTTTAAATTATATTTAATAAAATTAAATTAGATTTAAATTCAAATGACTCATAAATTAAATTAATAATTTATAAATTTTTTTTTTAAAATTTTAAATACAAATACTTTAAACGAATTTAAATTTTATTATTATATATAAAAATAAATTTAAACAAAAAATAAGCTCGAAAAATCAAATTGAGCCTAAACTTACTTAAAATTCTAAAATATTATGCTACATCCAACCCGAATACAGACTGGCTCGACCCATAAACGGCTCTACCTCAAGCTTCTTGGCTGTAACTTGCTCTAACCTTTCTTGCATCTCTTCGGTGATGTTTTCTCAATCCCCAACATTGCCACGCCTGAAACGGAACTTATAATCAGTGCCTGTTTAAGGGCCGACTCCATGTTGGTTCACTTCCAAGTTTTTTTAAGCTTTTCCAGGCTGCATCACCACAAAACTTTCTCCACCTCTTCCTCCTAGGCAAAAGGCCTTCCAAGGAAAGAAGGCAGCTTCTTCAATTGCCCCTTTTGGATCTTTCTTCATGTCTTCATATCTCCAATAACACAAAACATGATCACGGAATGGCCCAAAGGCATGAACCCCAGCAAAAGCTCTCAAAAGCTCCATTCTTTGCCATGGATGTCGAGTAATATTCACAAGGGACATGGCTTCGAAATAGTCTTGGAGAAGACATACCTGAGAGAGCAGGACTGGGATTTTCCTTGAAAAGCTGCAGTTCCAGGGATGGCATTAGCTGGTTCGGATGATGTTTGAGCAAAGGATCATCAGTGTCATCATTTGTAATGCACTGGGGTTCATGATTTTTAGGATGATAGCCTTGAGCCATGTGGTGCATGTCTGCATGGAAGAAGCCAGAAACATGGAAATTTTTTTTACCTGCAGTAACATAGACAAATAATAGAACAGTGCCAGTACTGACTACGGATGCGTGTTCACTGGTGACTGATGAGTAGAAGTATTTATGGGTTGGTGTAAGCAGGATTTATACTTAATATTAATAATTTATAAATTTATCCGAATTTAGTCCCTTTTAAATATATATATAAATAAAAATATATATTTATATAATTATAATATTTTAATTATATATATTTATTTCGATCTATTTTAATTTTTTAATTCAAAATTTTATAAAATTTTAAATAAATCTAAAAATTATATTCATACTTATTTAACGCATTTTAATTTTGTATCCAATCTTTCTACAAATGAACGAATCTTTGATTATGAACGGACGACAGCGAGCTCCAAAACCCAAAAAAGGTTATAATTTGTCAAATTTAAATTAAGTAAATAAAATAATTTGTCCAATTTAAAACTAGCTCATGGGTGGTTCTCGGCCCAAATTGTCTAGGGCTCATTGCTAGGCCTGACCGTTCCATTTTTTTCCCTCTATTTTCCCTCTCAGAAAATTCAAAAAGCCTCTCTTCTTCCCGGCAAACAAACTCCATTTCCCTGGAAAATTGATTCATCTAAAAGTGAGTCTTACTTTCCTTTTCTCTTTAACTCCATTTCCATTCGAATTTTGTTTTCCTCATTGAAACAAAAAGGAATGGAATCCGTGGTGGCGACGGTGAGTGGGTACCACGGTTCGGAGCGGTTCAACCTAATCAAGCTCATATCTCATGTGGGTGCAAGTTACGTTGGCTCTTTGTCTCAATCAACCACCCATTTGGTTCGTTTTCCTATTTCTTTTTCTCTTTTTTTTTTTTTTTAATTTGAAAGAAAAAAAAGGGGACGAATTGAAAATTTTTTGGTTTTTAGGTATGTTGGAGATTTGAAGGAAGGAAATATGAGCTTGCTATGAAGTTAAAGACGATAATCGTCAACCATAGGTGGATTGAAGATTGCATAAAGGAAGGGAAGCGTTTGCCTGAGGGTCCTTATATGTTGCAAAGGTACTTAGTTTTTTTTTTTTTTTTTCTAGTTTTTTGAGATTTCTTTTCTCTTGATAGATCTGTAAGAGTTGATTATTTTAGTTTAGAAATATGAATTATGGTGGTTTCTAAGACTGTGTTAAGGAGAAAGAAAAGGAAAGGAATAAAAATTGTTTTCATTATTCTTATGCTGGTAGAAGATATTGAAAATTGTACATAAAATGGTGCTGAATGAGCATTTTCATTCCTTGGTTATGGATGAACTGAATTTTGGGAGAATGGAAAGGTGTGTTATATGTGTATCTACCCAATTTTTCATTCTTCCTATTTTCTTTATAGCAAATGAGGAACATATATATTTTTTCATGTTTCTTTCCATTCCTTTTCCATTTCCTTGATCCCTCTTTCCTCCTACCAAATACAGTGTAAATGAATTGGTTTGTTTCCCTATAAAATGTCTGCATTTACTTTCAAATTGGGAAAATGTTAACTATGATTACTAGTTAAGTTGCTTGCCATTTATATAAATATTTTTGTATTTGATGCATCATTTCTCCTAGAATTTGCTGAATATGATAAAAATAAATTTCTTAAGTTAGCGCCTTAGATCAGTTTCCATAAGCAGTTGCTAATAGAATCCTTCAAAATTTCTATATTGGGTTAGTTGGTTACTGCTTGATAAAATTTGAAGTTAATTGTCAGAAATGGTCAAAATGATATGGTGTTGGATTCATACTTGTAGCTTTTGATTTTCTTTCAGTGGAGAAGAAATGGGACCTTTATTGCTGGAGATCCCTGATGATGCTAAAGGGTATGCCTTGACTAAGAAGTGCAAAGTGTTTTCTGACAAATCCAATGTTTATGATGACGTTGGGAATAAAACTAGTGATGTTGGCTATGGAGGTTCTGGTTTATCTTCTTGGTCCAAATCTACTTTGTTGGATGAGGTGATTAGATAAGTTTCTCTTCAATATTTCCTTCTCTTCATCCCTAACTCTTTTCCTCCATTCTTTTTGTTTTAGTATACACCACAGGCAAACTCTTTGTCTGCAGCTTCTTAGTACTATTCTCAATCTTTATATGCTTTTGTGATATTTTTATTTCTGCAGAATCTTTTTGCAGGGCTTGGGAAAATCGGTTCCCATAAACTGAAATCTAAACCATTTAGAAAATCTTCGAAGGAGGAAAATTGGTTAGGTAGTAGAAACTGCTTTCAGGAGACTAGTTCAACTGGATTAGCTAGGAAGGAGGTAATGAGTGATATTGTCTTGTTTCTTTTTCCTTTCAGTTCTTCAAGATCTTTTCTAAACTCAAGGTTTTGTTACAGTTTATAGTTTTAGTTGTTATTTTAACTTTCTTCATAACCATTATTCAAAATTCTGTATTCACTTTTTACTATTTTAAATTTGTAGAGCATTTTATCTTTCACTCATTAGACTGTGACCTTATGCAAGTACCAAATGTTATAGGGTAAAAGAAGTGATCTGTTGACTAACTTAAACATTCTTTCTTATTGTCTGAGTTGGTTGCTTTAATCTGCACTATAAGTTTAGATCTCTTTTCTAAAGGTAACCATTAAGATTCTCTAAGCTTTTGCTTAAGTTTTATACAAAATCGTCAAATTTTGCATGTCATTGTTTGACTTATAAGGAATAATTTCTCTTCTTGCTTCTCTTGTTTCCTTGACTTGGCTTTTTATTTTATCCGGTTGAAAAGTATGGAGGGTCATCAAGTGCTTATGCTTCTATGCCTCCTACGAGGAACAAAAGGAAAATCTCAAAGAACAAAGAGCCAAATGCTCATTGTTCCTCTCAGTTGCTGATGGAAGAAAGAAACATACCCAATGCTAGCAGAGACACTTCTTTGGCCGAATCTTCTCAGAGAAAAGGACAGAGGCTTCTGAAGAATGTTAATAGAGAAATTGTAGTGTTTGACCTTTCAGATTCTGACCAAGAGTGCTATCCACCATGGGTCCATAAGCAATACAGTAGAGTTATAAATCCATCTGATCATTCACTTGATAGGAGGACTGTTAGTTTATCTGAAATTGGAGGACCATCTAATTTTGACTTCAGTAAGCATAGGGGAGTAGATAAAGAAATTGAAGAAGTTGGGGAGATCAAATTGTGGAACCATCTACCCCCTTCTAAGGATTTAACTTCACCAGGGAAAGATGCACCATCTGTCTCTGGAAGAACTTCACCAGATGGGTGCCCTGATGCTGAGAGAGAGAGCCAAGGGGTTGGTCAGCTAGAGCTTGCTTCCAGATTACCCACTTCAGTGGAATTATCATGTGTTATATGTTGGACTGAGTTTAGTCCAACAAGAGGGGTTTTGCCCTGTGGACATCGATTTTGTTATTCATGTATCCAGGATTGGGCTGACCATATGGTACGTATTCTTTTCATCTCCTTTATTTGCTCTGCCCTTTCAATTTCATATGCATTATAGTTAGCATTCCATTAATTATTATTAATATCCTGCATGAGCAGCTAGGTTTGATATGATTATACTTTGTTTAATCATTTGTTTATTTTATTTACTATATGAGGTTTTAAGCTCTTCTTCAATTAGCTTATATTACATCTTATGCTGTAAACATCATTTTCGCTGCATGCAAGCCATTCTCTTCTTTGGACATTATGCTCCTATATTTGTCACTTGTGTAAAAGCATGGACCATTTACTGATGTCAATTCATTTTTTATTACAAAGAATGGATCTCCAAGTCACACTGGCCCTCTAATTCAAAGCTGATTCTAGTAATTAGACATTTCAGTTTGTCACTTGCTAAATATCTTGCTTGTTTCTAAATGATCAGCTCTTCAGAATTTCAGATTTAAAATTTAGTTATCAAGTGCTTTGCATTGTTCTCATATAATTCAGTAAAATGGGGTCAGTTTTCTTTGTAATGTTGTGAGCAGGCCAATACTACAAATTTCTGCATTCTCTTGATCTTTTTGAGATAATTATTTGGAAATAACATCCCAGTTAAATCAAGCATTTGATTTGTCAATCTCTTAATCCTTTACTTTTCCCCCCTGTTTTTACTAACTGTTTGTGGAGAATAAGGGAATTGGAAAACAGGCCTATTCTTTTCTTTTTATGGTTTGGAACTCAAACAGCTTGCCGTGTAATATTTTCTGGATTGCTAAACTAGTATTATTATTTCTGACAACTGATTTTCAATCTCTGTGTTCTACTTGTGGGTTGTATCATTATCTTGGACCCTAATATCATGATGATTTGCTACATATGATTAATTTTCTCCTAATGCCCTTCCTACCTTGCACTTGATCCAATTTGAAAGTGTTCTTATACTAATTATACTGCATGTAGACTTCAAGGAGAAAGACTCCATGTTGTCCTTTGTGCAAGGCAAGTTTCATGAGCATCACTAAAGTGGAGGATGCCGCCATCTGTGATCAAAAAATTTTCTCCCAAACCATTCCTTGTGCCACATCAACAATGGATGTTTCTATTCTTTCCAACCAAGACAGACCTGCTTTTGGTGCTCAGGTAGTGGGTACTCCAATACTAGAAAATATCATATAGGCTTTAATTCCTGGTCATTGCTTTCTTTGTGGAATTAACTCATGAAGCTGTGCTTTGAAATGATGTTTCTGCATAGCATTTTAAAATTATAAATAGGCACTCAAGTGGTCACTGTAGTTGAGTGTTTGAGTAGAATGTCCTTTTTCTTTGTATGGATGGGTATAAATCCCAGATTTTCATGCTTAATGCTTTCCTCATGTATCCAGAAAAAAAAAAAAAAAGGTGAAACAAGGGATTAGCAGGTACTATTATTCTTTTCTCCTTAACATTTATCCTGTTAATATGCATAAAAAGAAGAATGTAATAGAATACTATTTCATATAAATTTGATGAGAATTTGATGGGAGAAAGGGAAATTAGGTGTGATAGAGGTTTAGAAAGGACACAAGGAGCAAACACAAAGATGACATACGAATATGACATGCATACACTGGCATTCATAAATAGGTACCGATAAGTGAATGCCTGCCATCAAGAGTTGATGGCATTTCTTTTTGTGTGATTTATGGCACAACAAATTTTTTTAAAAGATGTTCAATGAATGTCAAATTCATGTTGGTGCTATCCAAACAAGGCTTCTCGAGAAACACCTTTATCCTTTCTGCTGAAAACCATCCGCACTCTGCACTGCCAATGGATGTGAAAAGTAGATCATTATCTCCCAATAATGAGCCAAGCAAATCTAGTATTTGCAGTACTAAACTCTCTGCCACCACTTCTTTACATTCTTCCATTTTATCACTAGTTGCTTAGTCTTGCTGCCATTAACTACTTTGCTTTGTTATGGCGCTTTATAGTTGATCTTACTGAACTGATTGTGCTCTTTTTTTTATCTTTTAATAGTCCTCATCAGCTTCAGTTTGCATCAAGTGCCGTTCTCGAGAACCTGAGGATCTTCTTGTCAGCTGCCATTTTTGCCAGATACGAAATATCCATAGATACTGTCTTGATCCCCCTTTATTACCATGGACCTGCATTCACTGCAAGGATATCGAGAGGCTCAACCGTTATACCTTCTAATACACATATTTCGATGCTGAAAATTTATCTAGAACATGTCATTTATGACAGTTGCATTCGTTAACCTTGAATTGTCTATAACATGATGTTTTTTTCTGTCTTCAACTATCCTGGTGATGGATATGCTAGCTGTTATTGGAATGGAGGTTCTTGTACACATCTAGATCTGTCAACTATCCGATTACATTATTAAATTATTAATAAGATTTATTATACTAATGAAATTTAAAGTGAAATACTAACCAAATTTATCAAAATTAAAACTTTTATAGAAGTAAATATCCTCAACATATTTCTTGGAAACCTAGCATAAAGAATTAAGATGGCTCCAAAATAACATGCTAACCGTTTTCCTTGTAGATTTTACGTCATGACTAGACATGTTGACCACATTTTTTTTGGCACAAGAATTGGTTGGTTGTTAGTGCTATGTACAAGTAGATAGCCTCTTTCAAAGAATGATATACAATAATATTTTTCTTTTACATGAGTTATATACGGAATAAGCAGACATGGAGATACGAATTATTAAATCTAGATAGTTGGCAGTAGATTCATTAACTATTGAATTGGCTTCAATGGATCTTAATCTTTGGTGCTTTCAAAAAAACAATTGTTGTTGCTTTCTTTTCCAGTGTTTAATAAATTTAAGATTCCTTAGCAATTGCCAACCTGTTCAGTAAAGATGATTATTTAACATCTTGACATGGCTTTCCTCAACTTGTGCAGCCACTTGATAACGGACATTGAAATAGTGAAGCTTTCAAAGTCAACTAGGAGATTTCTTCGAATTTGTCAAAAACTTAAAACTGCAATAAATTAATGCCTTTAAGCTCCTTGTTATCCTCGTTCGAAATCTTTCAGAATAATGAAGATGAGAACTGTAAGGATACCTGATGAAAAATGGATGCATTTCATCCATTGTTTTGTTTTCCTCTACCTATCAACACATATTTTTATGTGTTTAGAGGCTAGTAAAATGCACTCAGCATCTTCAAATTAGCAAAATCAGAGGAAGGAGGTAATGGCTTTATTGGCTTTCAAGCATAATTCAGTAGAAGCAGACCCCAAAGGTTTCCTAGATCGTTGGAGTCCTGCATCTTTTAGTCCATGTTCATGGCATGGAATCTTGTTCTCTGCTAGTGGACAAGTTAGTGCTCTTAACTTCACAAATGCTAGTCTGATTGGTCATTTGCACATTGATGATCTCCTGGTTTTGGAAAATCTCCAGCATCTCCACTTGAGTCGAAACTCTTTCTCTGGTAATCTCTTCCATGACAAGACTTCGGGTCCTTGCACCATTGAAACACTTGATTTGTCATTCAATAGTTTATCAGAGTCAATTTCCAAAACATTTTTTGATTCTTGCAATCATATGACTTCCTTGAATCTTTACCATAATTCGATCCAAGGAGGTAGTTTTGAGTTTGGGACTTCTCTCCGGGAGCTTGATCTTTCAAGCAACTTCATTTCAGATTCCTCACTATTGAATTACTCATTTTTAAATTGTCAGAATGTGAAACTGCTAAATCTCTCATATAACAATTTGTATGGGAAACTAAGCAATCTCTCATCTTGCCGAAATCTATAAATTTTGGATCTCTCTAATAACAAGTTGTTTGGTGATATCCCTGCTCTTCTCTTTGCTAATCTACCTTGGTCCCTTGAGTTTTTGGACATATCTTACAATAATTTATCTGGTAATTTCTCTATGCTTGAATTTGGGAACTGTGCTAAGCTTTTGGTACTGAACCTGTCCAATAATGCTCTTTATGGCTCTGGAATTTCTCAAAGCTTGAGGAACTGCAAGCCTCTTGAGAATCTTGACTTCTCTCATAATCTGCTGGGAGATAAAACTCCAACTGCTTTTGGAATTTTGAGAAATTTGGAGCATCTTAATTTGGCACAAAATCGCTTTTCTAGCAATATCCCCAGAGAATTGGGTTTAGCTTGTGGGACTCTAGTAGAACTTGATCTTTCAGGAAATAATCTTTCCGGAGATTTTCCTGAGATATTTAAGTCATGCAGTTCTTTGCAAACCTTAAACCTTAGAAAAAATCGGCATTCAGGAAATTTCCTCACTGCAGTCATTAGTACTCTTCCTAGTTTGAAAATCCTCCAAATTCCATTCAGCAACATCGGTGGTTCCATTCGTCTATCTCTTACAAACTGTACGCAGCTCCAAGTCCTTGACCTTAGTTCCAATGCATTCACTGGAAATATACCTTGGGGCTTTGCTCCTCTTCGACACCCTTTTCCTCAATACAAAAATTATTACTTGCTTGAAATCTCTTATCAGGAACTGTGCCTTCCGACATTGGAAACTGTAAGAACCTGAGAACAATTGATTTCAGCCTTAACAATCTAAGTGGATCCATTCCGCCGAATGCATGGATGCTACCACATCTTTCTGACTTGATCATGTGGGGAAATAGCATTATTAGTGGAATTCTACAGGACATATGCTTTAGTGGAAGTAATCTGGAGATAATTCTTCTCAGTAGCAACATCTTCACAGGAACAATTCCAGCATCACTCAGCACTGTAAAAATCTCACTTGTTTGTCACTTTCTTTTAATCAGCTAAGTGAAGAAATTCCTGCTGATATTGTAAGTTGGAACTCTTCAAAAACTCAGCATTCTACAGTTATATCATAATTCATTTACTGGCAGGATCCCTGAAGGGCTTGGCAAATGCCAAAGCCTTCTATGGCTTGATTTGAGCAATAATCAATTTACCGGTAACATTCCATCAGACCTTACCAACCAAAAAGGCCTAGTTCTCATGAATAACTACAACGGGAAGTATGCATATTTGAGAAGTGAAGGTGAAAGAGATTGCAATGTAGTCAACAGCTTACTGTATTTGGAAGGAATCAGAATAAAAGGTTGGTTAGTTTTTTCGATTACAAGTCTTGTTCACCAGTCAGACTTTATTTTGGCTTGAAAGTGAACATGACCACAAGCAATGGTAGCATGATATACTTGGATCTTTCTTCCAATTTGTTGTCTGGACTAATTCCAGATAGCTTGGGGTTACTGTCGTACATGATGATTCTTAATCTGGGATACAACAGACTAACAGGAGCTATCTCTGAAACCTTGGGAATTTTGAAAGGATTGGACATCCTCGACTTATCTCATAATCAACTTGAAGGTACTATTCCAGGATCTTTGGCGTTGCACTCTCTTCTCAGTGATATGGATTTATCAAATAGTCATCTAAGCGGCTCTATACCTGTAGTAGGTCAGTTTGAAATATTTCCAGCATCTGCATTTGAAAACAATTCAGGTTTATGAGGTTATCCACTGCCCCATTGTATCTCTCTGTCTAATCCAAACCTCTTAGGCATCAAGCAATCTCAAACAGAAAATCCTTCTATTCTGGAAGTTAATTGGAACTGGATTGTTGCTTTGATGGGACACATGGCTGGTGTAATAATTGCAGCATGTGCTGGAATTATATTTTTTGAAGAAAAAAAGCAATGGTTTTTGAGGACTTTTAGTATCATCCTGGAAATGAGATCAAAACAGATGAAGAACAGTTGAGGGATACGCCATCACAGAAGGTGGGCATGCAACAAAATTTACTACTTATATTAATCCCTCTTGCTATTCATGACTGACATTGCAATAAATAAATATCAGCATGTTGTCAGCTGGTTGCTTCCTTGCAGCGAAAACAATGCCTGGAGTAAACTTAATAAAGAAAAGTTTGATGTATAAGTTACACATTGATGCTAATAATTACATCAATCAATCTTGATCTGTAATGAAAGAGAACCTGAGAACTTACATCTTCTGAAAATGGTTTGACAGCTTAAGTCATGCCCCAAAAAGATATTCTCTGAAGTTATTTGGAAACAAAGTTTTGCAAATTTTAGGATCAACTTTCAATGTCAATGCTACAAGGTACTTAGTTTCAACATTAACGAAATTCGGGAAAATTATAATGGCTAACAAACTAAAAGTTCCATTCTGCCAACTGCTGTCAGAGAACAAAAGATTTCTCTTAGCTGCCTAAACAAGAACAAGGTTGATCCAAGAAAATAAACAAGTGAAGAATTCTACTGTCCAGTTCTAGCTACATCATTACCAGCCTCAAGAAATTTAGACTAATTCATAGGATTGTTCAACATTAATTCTTCATTTTTTTTGCTAATTCTTTGCAGGACAATTCTTCAAAGCCCTCTGGTTATGTCATGAAGTACTAATACCAAACAAAGCATATGTTTTGAAAGAAGATTCAAAACTGTCTACTTAGATTCTTTCTGGAAATTTTTTCTTTCCGATGATTTCAAGTTACTGGTGTTAGAAACTAAGGGGTTGTTTGATATTATTGTGTATTTTATATTTTATGTTTTTGAAAATTTTATTTTGTTTTATTTTCGTTTTGAATTTGAAAATATGTTTGGCTAGAATGTTTTTATTTTAAAAATATAAAAATAAAAACATGAGAAAATGATTAAAGTTTTAAGACTCCTTTTTTTTATTAATAATATAATAATATTTATTAATATATTATTTTTAATATATTATAATAGTATTTATTAATATATTATTTATAAATATTATATTAATTAATATTATATTAATAAATAATATATTAATAAATATATAATATTATATTAGTAAATAAATAATGTATTATTTATTAATATAATATATTATTATATTACTAATATTTATTAATATAGTATTTATATAATAAAAATATTATTTTATTAAAATAATAATTGTAACCTCATTATAACGGTTTAATTGTAATTTTGTGAACAGTATCCGTGAGATAATAGTATAAAATTGTTATAAAAAAACTAAAAAATCATTTCTTCTATTTTCAAATTATTTTCAATTTTCAAAAACAGAAAGCAAAAACAATCTACCAAACATATTTTTATTTTTAATTTTCAAAAAATCCGAAAACGAAAACAAAAAACAGAAAATGGAAACAAAAACAAACGACCCCTAAGCTATGTATGTTTGAACAAAAGTTCTCTAAGAAGGGAGAGGCAAGGCATTCCTATGGGCTATGGCTAAAGAACAATGATACATGCATTCACCGATCAGCTGTCAGCTCTTTCATTGATGCCAGTTGCAAAAATATAAAGGACATTCTTTATTTGTATGTGAAGCTCACTCACTGTTCAATTCTGGATATAAAATTGGAGAATATAGTTTTCTTTCAAATAAAAGAA